AGGTGGGCCCGCAGCAAGCAGCTCCAGGATTAACACTGCTGGTTCCCAGTATTTCCACGAGAGCTCCAGGGCTGACCTGCATTGGCCTGACGTGAGTTACTGCCCATTCTTGAGCCAGTAACAGGTCTCTGGGAAATGCGATGCTCTGAGTAGTCAGGCCTGATCACGTGCCATACCTGAAACAGCGGTGGACAGCTTCCCCTAGACCACTAGGCTTCTTTTTTATTCTTTCTTTTAAAGAATAGTTTGTTGATTTTTAGAGAGAGGAAGGGAGAGGGAGAGAGACAGAGAAACATCAATGAGAGAGAAACATCCATCGGCTCCCTCCTACATGCCCCCTACCGGGGATTGAGCCCACAACCCGTGCATGAGCCCTTGATCGGGATGGAACCAGCAGCCTCCTGGTGCACAGGACAACACCCAAAAAAACTGAGCCGCATGGGCCAGGGTGACCACTAGGCTCCTGAATGGGGGTGAAGCAGTTCTGCATAGTAACCCAAAGAAGGAAAACGGATGCTGGGCCGGCGGACACCACTACACGGTCTTTAACCAGTGACAGTTATTCTGAAACGAGAGCAGAAAGGTTAAGTCAACATTTTTTTTCTATTGTGGTAAAATTGGTATACAACATTATATATAGTTCAGGTGTGCATTATAATTCAATATTTGTTTACACTGCACAAGGACCATCCCTGTGCGTCTAGTTACCATCCAACACCGTACGACTGACCCTCTTCACCCAGTTTGCCTGCCTGCCCCCAGGGCCTATATTTATGGGAAGGATAGGAAGGGCTTTGTGGTACACAGTAAGGTCTCAGAAAATGTTTATGGAAGGAACAATTCACAAGAGAATAAATAGGACCGTACATTAAAGTGTAACCTTGTTCTGTGGGAAAAGAAGTCAGAATGAGGGCACACTGTTACTGAGTCCAGGAAGTGAGCCAGGAAACAAAGGATGGGGTGAATGGCACATTTCTGAAAGGAATTCCTTAGCGACAGCAAGGGCTGTTTAATTAACATGTAAAACTACATTACTCTGGAGGAAGGGAGCATATCAGAAACTCTCTCCAAGGCTTGCTGATGCCACCAAGCTCTGGAGTAGTGATGGGAGGGACTATGGGAAAGTGCTCATGAACCTGAGGTAGTAGAGGAGCGCTGGTCGGTGTGGCTCAGCTGGTTGAGTGTCGTCCAGGCACCAAAGCATCACTGGTTCTATTCTGGTCAGGCCACAGTCAGGGCACATATCCAGGTTGCAGGTTTCATCCCTGGTTGGGGGTGTGCAAGAGGCAGCTGATCGATGTTTCTCATTGATGTCTCTCTCTCTCTCTCCCCCTTCCTCTCTCTCTAAAATCAATAAAAAACATTTTTATTTTTATTAAAAAGGAAGTCCTGAGCCTCTGTTTCTCTTCAGTGTGGTGGAGAAAATAGTGCTTAAATCACTATTGTGATGACTGAAGGAGATCAGTTAGGTGACTGTCTGACACAGAGGAGGTACAGGTAAGACAAAAGCAATCTGGAGTCCCCAGGTGATTCTTGAGGACTGTCAGGAGCACACGGGATATGGTGTCAGGAGACATGAGTGTGAGTCCAGGCTCCACTCCAATTTCCATCTTCCCCATCTCTAAAAGGCAACAACAATCCCTACCCCACAGGGCCATTAGGACAATGAAATGAGACCCTACCTTCACTCAACAAGCACTTATTGAATGTTTATTTCCCAGACAGCATGCTAGGTGGGGATACAATAACAACTAAGAAGAAGTTGTCCTTAGGCTGTGCTCCTTCTGGAATATCTAGGGGATAATCTATTCCTTACCTTTTCCGGCTTCCAGGAGCGGCCCATTCCTTGGTTCTTGGATGCATCACTCTGACTCCTATTGCCATTGCCACATCACCTCTGACCCTGACCCTCCTGCCTCCCTTTTATAAGGACCCTTATGATTATATTGGGCCCACCCAGATAATCCAGGACAATCTCCCTACCTCCAACTCCTTAATTTAATCACATCTGCCAAGTTCCTTTTGCTACATAAAGTTCTGGGGATTGGGATGTGGACATCTTTGGGGGGCCATTATTTACTTGACCACAGCACTCCTGGGCTATATAGTAGGAAATGGGCTATCCTTAGACTCAGGAAGCATATTGGGCTACCCCTAAACATCAGCTTTATTCAATGATGGTATTGCGTTGTGTCAATTCTTGTGGGGAGGGGAGCAGAGAGGGATCTGAAGGCTGATTGCAGATGCCTCCTCAGAGTTAACTGTCAGACATTAGACTCCTATAGAGTCATAACGGGAGCACTAAGCAACAAGTGAGGATATTATACTGGCTGCTGCCATTCAGGAGCTCTGAGACCTCAGGCAAGGATATTATTTCTCTAAGCTCCAAACCACACCTAAATCAATAGGGATAAATAGAACAACCTGGAAGGGTTGTAGTGAGGATTAATGAAAATATCATCCATGAGCTCACCTAAAACAGTACCTGATTCTCAACAAATATCTGGTTTTGGGTGGAGGGGGGAATGTCTCCGGAATTCATCCCTCCCTCTTTCTCTGTCCCTTTTGCTGTGGCCACTGCCCCTGTCCAGGCCTCTCAGAAACCTTCACTGCTTGCCAGTCATGCCACATGCCTTAGCCTGGCACTACTCAGGAGCCACAGCTTTGAAGCCCTGCACATGAGTCCCTATTAACCATGAAATCTGGAGCAAGGCTTTTAAGCTCTTTAAGCTTCAATTTCCTCCTTTGTCCAATGGGGATAAAATCGTCTATTGAACCAGGTTGTCCTGAGGATTAAGTGAGATGATGAATGGAAAGGGCTTAGCACAGTGTCAGGCACAAAAAAGTAGTGTTTTTCATCTCAAGAGACCTGACCTCCTTTCAGTCTCCTCGTCTTCTACATTTCTTCCAGCAACACTGGACAACCCGCTTCTCCCTGAAGCAGGCCTTGAACTTGTACACCTGAAGGGCACTGCTTATCAGCACTTCCCTCCACCTCCCATATTCCCAGTGTGTCCTATACTATTCTTTCTGGAGCCTCAGTTCTACTCTGCTCCCCAGTAAGTTGTCCCGCCTTTACTAGCCTCCCCGGTTACTGCTACTTATGCAGGCCTCTGCGACAATACTGGACACGAGTTCCTTGAGGAAAGGAGTTTTTTGGTGTAGCAGGTTGCAACAGTACTCCCCCTCCTTGCCCAGCCTCAGTTTCCTTATTAGGAATGAGCACATTGAACTGGAATGGCTGGAAGGGCCCTAACAGCTCTGAGATCTTAAACTGACAGAACTTCGTTAGGCAGCAGGGATCTTGTGGATTACCTGGTCCACCTCTCTCCTTTTCCAGAAGGGGAAACTGAGGGTCCAGGAGGGCCTTCCCTTAATGCTATTCTCTCTCAGGCCTCCAGGGACAGGCTTGCCGGAGGGCATGCAGCCCAGTTTTCCTAAGCATGCAAGGGGAGACTCTCGGGCGTCTCGAGGGCTTGGGGCGCCGGAAACACGTGTGTGCTCACCTACGTGTACACACGTGAGCACACCTACAGCAGCAGGGGGCGCTCTGGCCGGCAGGGGGCAGCAGAGACCCGATTTGCAATTGCCGGGCGCAGCCCAGAGGGAGGACGGCGTGCTGCAGAGTCGGCGGCGGCGGCGGTAGCTGGAGGTGCAGCCTCCCAGGTGGGAGGCGGGGG